TTCATAGTCTGTTTTGCTGCCAATTACGGCATATGTTTATCTTAACTTAAAATAAAGTGTCATTAATTTAAATGCCCTCACCAAAAATTTAAAAAATTGTGTGTGTGTGTGTGTGTGTGTGTTTTAATTTTAATTGGCCCCTTTTTTGGTCTCCCATTATTTGCAAGTCTAGTTCACAATTAACCCAACTCTAGTCTAGATGCCTTCATTAATAATCATGCCTACAAGTATTTGACCTACAAGTATTACGTTTTTAGGTTTATTCTGTTACATTTCACTTGTAATTCAATTATGGCTTTAGTGTCTTTCATTGATTGACCTAGCCATCACCATATTTTTAAACAAAAGCCTCTGTAATAACAAGGAATTTATTACTGCCACAGCGCCACCTACTGGGAGGCCATTACAGAAGCAAGATAGTTGTAGCTTAACTTTGACCCACAGTTTTTAGAGTCCTTCTGAGCTTTGTTTTTAGAAAAATCCCAATTTCCTTGTCATTTTGAGAAACTGTAACTTATTTTGATAGCTACCGAGTCTCTTGCTGCAGCATAATATCAGCAAGTTAGAATAAAAATATGCTCTTACTGTTGTTACCTTAAATTGGCCCTGACTTCACCGACTTTGATTTTCTCTGTCCTATAATTGTAGCAGGGGCTCCAGATTGGGTGGGCAAAGGTTTGGATCTGGCGAAAATAACTTGGGGAGCTTCCAAAGATCCTGAAAAATGTAAAAAAATCCCTACTTAACACTTTACTTGATCTTGGCTGGAAGGACAAGAGGTCAAATCTAAAACTAGGATTTAGGGCATCAACATTCTCCCAGGTGCTGCCATTCCCCGCTTCCTACCAAATATCAAATCCATGCTCAGTTTCTTGCTTTCCAATAGCGTAACAGTGGGTAACCAACCCAAATTCTTATCCCTATGGCTCTGGGGAAAGAAGAACTTTTGGGGAGCAATAAAGGGCATAACACACTAAGGCAAGCATATCAAGAGCTTTATTTATTTTTATTTTTAATCTATTATACTCCAGAGATCCACCCAAGATATTCAACAATATAGAATGCATGGTGACAAAAATAAGAATCTGATGGTGAGAATAGCTCATTCCACTGAGAGCTGCCAGGCAAGTAATTTCACTTGGAAGTTAAAGTGATTTCTAGATCTGTAGGGTCTTGGCTCCACTGGGTTTACTTTATAGTAAAATCAGTTCTTTTATCTTGTCACACTGATGCGCTGATGCCGCATCCCCATGCAAAGAGCATGGAGTTAAAGTGCATTTTACCAGGACCCGGAATAACACTGAACAAGCACACTGCTTCTCGCTTCTTGTAAACAGAACCCATCATTGATTTTCAAAAAGTGGCAAGGTTTCTCCTATCAACTACAGACCATTGAGAGCTTAAAAAGCACACTGAAGAAGAAGAAAGAAGAGGAGGAAGAAGAGGAGGGGCAGGGAGAGGAGGAGGGGGTGGGGAAATGGGAGGGGATGGGGGAGGAGAAGGGGGAAAAGTGGAAGGGAACGAGGTTGAGGAGGAGGAGGAAGAAGAGGAGAAGGAAGGGGAGATTGACTGCAGGACAGGAGAGATGCAGGCAGAAACTGAGGTGCCGCACTGAGGAGGAGGAGGAAGAGGAGGAGGAGGAGGAGAGGAGGAGAAGGAAGGGGAGATTGACTGCAGGACAGGAGAGATGCAGGCAGAAACTGAGGTGCCGCACTGAGGGCAGCTACAATAATGGTAGCTGACACTACCGAGTCAGCATGAGAGAAATGCGGGTTATCTAATCTGCCTCTCTGCTATTTTAGTTCACCATCGCCACTTCAGAACTCAAGAACACCGTGGTCATAAAAAAGGAAGGCACTGGCTTTGGCTTTGAGCCAAAGGCCTTCACAACAGCTTCCTTCTCAAATTTCCAAATTTGCTGACTCCATACCTTTCCTTCCATGGCCCGAATATACAGAATACATGGCCTGAGGTAAGGAAGTTGAGGGCAAATATCATCCATGAGACATCTCAGGCACTCTGCTGGGAGTTTTCACATTCACTACCTCATTTAATTTCACAATAAAAATGTCACTGTGCCACCATCTGTGCAAAAAGACTGAGTTTTTTTCAACAGCACTCTAAGAACAAAGCCACTCAGCGTTATGGCCTGCTTGGCCAGATTTGGGGAAGGCTCAAGGGACCAGGGAATAGACTTTTGCTACATTCAGGGATTCATTAATAACCATGTTAACCACCTGAGTTAACTGGATAAGACGGGTTAAAACCTTCAAAACCAGTTTAGTGATTCTTGGGTGGGCACAGACTTCTCAACTATGAGAGAGATGTGTAAATTTTTTGACTTACTATGAGGCTTATTTTTCCTTCTTGTAAGTTTAAAGAAAAATGTTTCTGATAGCAACCTAACCTTTTTATAGCTCACCCTTCTGAACCCCTTTTAAGTCTACACAGGATATAGAAAAACACATGATTTTAGTTGAAACAATGAAGTGCCAGGTAGTTACCCCGTTTCCCCGAAAATAAGACATTGTCTTATATTAATTTTTTCTCCCAAAGTTGCGCTAGGTCTTATTTTCAGGGGATGTCTTATCTTTCCATGCACTAGGTCTTATTTTCGGAGGATGTCTTATTTTCGGGGAAACATGGTATTTACTAGCTGAATAAATAACACTAACAGGGTTAGTTTATACTAATTAGCTATACTGCTCAGGTAAAATGTTTATTGAGAAGTATGGAAAATGCCTGAACCTATTCCCTCAGGTACACCGGTGTTTTCTTAAGAACCAGGACATCAGAAAAGCCATAGAACAGAAACAAGTTCAAGGGACTATAGAGGCCAAGAGTCATCTGTGACTACAGCAGTAAAAAGGCTACCTAAACAAGGTGAGCAGAATATATGCTCATCTGACATAGAAGGGGGAGAGAGGTAGCTTTTAGGATCCAAGGGGAAGTGCAAGTTCTCTTTTGCTCTGTGGTTTTATGCTGATATCAACTTCAGTAGGCATGCTACAAAATCTTCGAAGTAACTTCAACAGTCAGTAAATATTAACTCATGATCAAGATGCTGAAAGTCTGACCCAACTGGCCCCTCACATTTCCACTGTCCTCAGGCAGAGTGCATGCAGAGTTCAGTTCAGCACTTACCAATTAGACATGCAGATGAAATAGGCCAGGTTCTCGGATCTCACAGGCTTTGTAAACCTCTCCAGTTTCAGACCTGAAGAGCTGCAGGGGCTCTAACCACTGTACTAACGAGTACCCTTCCAACTAGACCATGATTCTCTGAGCCACTCATTCTCAGTCCCTAACCGTTCCAGGCAGAAATTTTATTTTCTTAAAAATAATTACCATGTTCTAATAATTCTTTTTTTCTCCTGAGGGGAGGGCAAGTTGATGCACATCAACAATTTCTCAAATTCAGTTCCTAAGATTTTAAGTGCAGAATAAAATCCTTATACTTTTATATTATTACCTTACCTGGATGTAGTTTCAAGAATCTTTCTCTATATATTGCTTCATTTAATCCTCATAGTAACTCTATGGGATATATGTAATTATCCCCATGATACAGTCAAAGAAACCTGGCTTTTCAGAGATCTTATAATCATTTTAAGGTGCGTTATGTCAACCACCAACCTGTCCCCTCCTTCTCCCCCCCCCCCCCCCCCCCCCCCCCCCCCCCGCCCCACACATACGCACATTCCTTGATGGCCCCCTACTGCTCTTAAGACCGAGCTCCCTGCACGGCTCATAAACTGCCCCTGCCACTTGCCACCTGCCTTTTCTCTTGCCGCTCCTGCTCCTGCCCCAGTCCCAGGTACGCGAAGGCTTCCAGAACACAGCTTTGCACACATCCTTCCCTCTTCCTAGACCTCCTTCCACTCCACGCCTTCCCTCTCCTGGCTGACCTGCTCACATTCAAACCTCAGCTTTAGATGTTTCTTCCTCTAAGAAGCCCTCTCTCTGAGGGCTAGGGCCAGATTGCTTGGGTTTAAAGACAGCCCACCGTTTACTAGCTGTGAACTTTTAGGCACGTTTCATAAGCTGCTTGTGCCATTATTTCTTCAGCTGAAAAATGGGGAGTACGGTTCCTCTATTATAAGCCTGTTTGTGAACAAATGAGTTTTACACACAAAGCGATCAGAACTCTGCCCGACACACAGCAAATGCTCCGCCAGTGTTATCTATGTGATTCCACTCGTCCCCGTCCCTGGCTTGGATGGCCCTGCAGCATGCTCCATGCTGACTGCTCTCTTGCCCTGAGTCTGTAAGGTCCCTGACAGCAGGGACTGTCTTGTTCACCGCGCATGTACCTCAGCGCCCCGAATGTTCCTTTTTCCACCGTGGGTGACCAACAAGAAATATGTGATTTTTCTCCCACTTGTCTGGTTACTTATGAGTACTTCTTCATGCATTATTACTCATAGCAAACTATCCGTGGTCCAAGATTGCCTAACTTACATGTAGGTTCCCACATTGAGAGGCTCTGGGCCCTCAGCACCTACCGGCAAGAGACCAGTGACATTAGCATGACAGGCTTCAGATCAAAGCCCAGAGCTCTGGCTCTGCATCCGAGCACAGTCTGCTCCAGGCCCCTCAACTTTCTGAGCCTTAGTTTCCTCATCTGGGGCAGCGGAACAGGAAGATCTAACTTATAGGGCTATCATGCAGACTATGAGAGATACTACATGTGGAAATACTAGATAAACAGTCAAATACAGGCTTTTTTTTTTTTTTTTTTACTAAAGACAGCAAATCTAAGAGGATCCGACCGAAATGGGAAATTTCAACTGTCCCAACTATCCAAAACACTATTCAATCCCAAACTGTGAATGTCCATTTTAAAGAGGAATGCAACAAACTGCCCTTTGCCAGTGCAGGAAAGCCCGAAAGCCCGCGTGCTTCCTTATTTGAACGGAGCTCTCTTCGAAGGCAGAAGAGGGCGTGTGCCAATCCCAGTATCCTCCCTCGAGGGCGGGACAGCTGCGGAGCCAACTAACCTGAGGAGTTGGCGATGGGTACGGCTGAAGCAGAGTTAAGGTTGCTCTGGAGTCCGTTCAGCTGCCCTTCCGTGGTGGACCCTCTGAAACACAGACAGTTGGTTAGACGTATAGAATGAAAGGCAAGGTCAAGTACAGGCCCTCCAATGGCTTGCTTCTTGCTCTCGGCGCTCCCTCTCATGTGGCTCATTCTCTTGCTTTATTTCAAGCCCTTGTTGAAATGTCCTCTTATCAGAGAGGGCATCTACAACCAACCCATCCTCTCCTTCTGAAATATTACATATTTTAAAAGGCATAGTCCATCTCTCCACGGAATGCAACTTCAAGAAAGCAAGGCTTTCATTGCTGCTGTGTCTCCAGTGCTGAGAACAGTGCCTGGCACCTAATAAGTACCCTGTTTCCCCAAAAATAAGACAGTGTCTTATATTAATTTTTTCTCCCAAAGTTGCGCTAGGTCTTATTTTCAGGGGATGTCTTATTTTGGGGGGAACACGGTAAGTAATGAACATTTCTTTATTGAACGGACAAATTAAACTCCTGGCACTGACTTGAATAAATCATAAGGAAGCAAAAAGACATTTTTAAAAAGGCAAGTTTCATTAGAGCAGTGGTTCTCACCTGGTGGAGCGAGGGGGAACAGATTTTGCGTAAGGGACATCTGGCTATGTGGAGACATCTATGGCTGTCACAACTGTGGGGTCTACTGGCGTCTAATGGGTAGAAGCCAGGAATGGTACTAAACATCTCCTACAGGGCACTGGAAAGTGTCAGATAAGGCACTTTATCTCACCCAAGATGCCAATCGTGTCAAGGTTGAGAAACCATTACGCGGAAGCACCTCCCCTCATGCCAACTTTGACAAGAGATGGGATAGAACAGTTGGCCACTCTGTTGACTAATGAGTTTGCCGATCACTGGGATAGAGTATGTTGGGTTCCCCACCATATCTGAGGAGGTCTATGACTAGCTCAATGCCCTACAGACCATTTCAGGTCTCCATGTTTGTTTGGTTTTTTGGTGTGTTTTTTTTTTGGCATTTACAAAAATTATAATTATAAAGTTGTGTAACTGGTTGCATAATATGTTATCTTGCTAGATTATTTGTAAGTTCCATAGAAACAGAGATTGTCTCAGTCTTACACAAAACTGTATCCATAGTGCATTTTGCATACCTGGGGTATTTAATAATTTTTTTTAAAAAGTAATCTGACCCAACGCCCCCTAAACACACTTACTGTTGGATCCATCTACCTTGATTTTAGTTGATGTGTAAAAAGTTTAGATGGTAGATTCAAGTTTCCATATGCTCAGTTCTTTATTTGTTCAGCAGCATCCAATCCCACACTTAGTACCCCCTCTCTCAGCACTGCTTTTCCATTCATTCATTCACACACAAAATATTTATTAAGCATTCCCTGTGCTTGGTGCTAAAGAAGAGGTAGACATCACGCAAATACCTAAGTTATAAACTGTGTGATAAATGTTCAGGAAGAGAAGTATAAGATGCTATAAGAGAATGAAATGGGGGAACCAATTTAGATGGTAAAGAGAATGGTCAAAGATGATTTTTTTTTTGTTGCTGTCTCACCCCCCTGCTGCATAAGGGAAATCAGGCAATGTTGAGGAAGTCATATTTCATCAGCGTCATAAAGTTATGAGAAGCATGATCCTGAGTCAGAGAGGGACTTATGATGTCAGAGGAACTTTTAAAGACCAGCAAGGTAAAGGGAAAGTCAAGCAGTGTTTGACAAACGTGTCCATCACACAGCTTCCAGGCCCTTCAGTTGGAACTGCAGATTCAGTGAGCTCAGATGCAGCCTGAGAACGCGGACTCTTTACGGCTCCCAGGGAAGTCATGGAAACGCTGGCTAGTGGGTAAAGGAAGGCGGGATGAGTACCACTTGAAGAGTCTGGCAGAGGCTCAGGTGCCCAGGTAGTCCCTACACGGCTGGTGGAGACAGGTCCCTTGAGAACACACCCCAACCATGATGCAAGGATCACACTGTCTTATACCCCCCCTCCCCACTCTCTCTTTCCACTTGCATTTTGAGGATGCCACAGGGCCCAAGAGGAGAGAATGCAGTGCAGGGCTCCGCCCTTTTCCACAAGCTGCACCCTTGTTTACCTACATAGGGAATGTCTATGCATTTTAGTTCAGCTCCTTATAGAAACCCACAACCACCCTGAGTATCCACAGGCTGGTATTTGCTCTTCCAGGCCCAAGCGAAGAGAGAAATGTTCTAAGATGAGCTTCCTTTTAGAGAAGTTAAAAGCCTTTAGGGTCATTCACCTGTGTGAGCAGCAGCTGCATTAGGGGAAAAAAAAGCAAAAAAAAAAAAGCAGCAGCCTGGGGCTGGCTGTCTCAGTTTCACAGGGACACCCCAAGTGTCAGCTGTAAAAGGGAAGCAGGCTGGCCAAAATTTGGGGGTCAGGAGAAGAAATAAAGGCCACACAGGAGATTCATAGGTTCGACCTAAAGAGTTCATGGTCCCCCAACTCTCTCATCTTCTCCCTCTGCCCTCTAGCACGGCCATCCTGTCCTGTGCCCTCACAAGCTTTCTCCTGTTTCTCCTGACCCTATGTCCCCTCCGTACCCAGTTCCACTCACTCCTCCACCTTCCGCCCTGTCAACACCCACCACAGGCCTCGAGTCACCATGATTCATGTGAACGACGTTTCTAGGGACTCTCATGTTTCTAGCACAGGTCCCCCTTCCACAGCCACCCAAGAGGAAATTCTGAGTGAATTTTTCCATGAAAACACTGGTACACAAAACAGTTTGGGTCTGTTTTTACTACTTTAGGCACATTATGGGTAAATATGCTCTTCTTGTGATAACGTCATTTCCTTTGGAAAATACATTTCAACTTCTGAACAGCACATTTCTAAACGAGAACCTGAAATACAGCTTGTCTGGAGCCTGCATGTGAATTTGCACTTGCTGATCTGCTCCTGCAGTGGCTCTTGGCTGCTTTCCTGGGAATATCCGTGTTTTGGGAAATACACAGAAAGGTGTGTATGCGCTTCCTTGGTTGCCTCTACATCACTCACTATGTTTTAACATCAGGATAAAAGGGTTGTTGCAGATTAGATGAGATGGTAGGTGAAAAACACATCTTAGCAGTGTCCGATAGTATATCAAGGGCTGAATGAACATAATTTGTAATTTTTACTTAGAAATATCAATAATCTTTGTATTCCTTATAAGTTTACTACACACAGAAATATTAAATTGGATGACTCACTGCCTCCAACTCAGGTTGGACTATTAGTGCTAAACTATAGAAGAATGACCACAAGACATTCAGATCTGAACATGAACAGCAATTTGCTATTAAGATCAAAAGGTAATTAAATGGCAACTGATAAGACAGAAATCTCATAGACAAAATTATTCTAAAAATACTTTAGGAAGGAAGGTCTCATTTGAGATTCACAAACCATCCCTTAATAAATTTAACACACATTTTTCCTTCCAGTATCAGAATGAATCACCATTTTTTTTCAATTGTGCACCGAACGAGGCACTTGGCTTGCAGCAAAGGGCCATGCTGTGTAAAATGCATGTGTGAACATGAGAATAACACAGATACAGAGTTGCCTTCCTATGAGAGGCTCATAGGAAATGAGACCAATTGGAGGAACAACTCAACTCCTGTCTTATTCTGAGCAGAACGTCAACTGGAATCAGCCACTTTATTGAAACTACTTTCTTTTTCTCACTGAATTCCTGAATATGCAAAGTTAAATGTGTGTTTGATGTTGTGACCTGCTGTTTTCTGATCATAGCTCGTATGGAATAGGAAGAGATGGCTAATAATGGACTCAGAACCACCGGAATGGTGAAAGTATCAGAGCTGTACAATGGGAAATACTGAAAAGGCGGGACGAGAAAGATGACATTAACTGTGCATCATACACATCCATTCTGCTAGCACGAGGTGTGACTCTCTGGTCCTGTAAGTGCTCTTCCGTTGCTCTTCTTGGAGACGGTGTGCATTCTAGCAGATACAAAGTGCCAGATGCAGTCCCAGGGGAGAGTTAGAGGCTCAGTACAACCTCAGCTGTGGTCATGGGCTCAGGGAAGGGTCTGGACTGTTTGTTTAGAATTGTCAAAAGCTGCTGGAGGGCAGGCTTCCTGATTAACGGGGCCACTTAAAAAACTGAGATAAGACAGTGGCCATGCATGGCAGCAACAAAGAAGAATTCCATGAATAGTGACCTGCTCCTTTTCCTGGGACGTGTTCAGAGCCAGCACCTGAAGCGTTTCTTTAAGTATTAAATGTACACGTCTTAACCCAGACTCCAATTCTCTGGCTCCATTCCTATCTACCCCTCTTGCTCTTCCACGTTCCTGCGCCTGGCATGGGCACTACTACTCCGAGGAAGGGTAGCAAAGACATTATTCAATGAAGTATTACAAACAGCCTCTCTATAAGCTGAAAGTGGCCTGCATCCATCATTGTGAAAGATTTTTTTGAGTGCAAGTCTCTACTTAGGGAATATAAGTTGATCAAATAGCTGGCTAGGAATTCCACTGGCATCCAGACCACACCACACCATACAGCGGCCTATACTGTCTAACGTACCATCACCAGTCTAGATGGGTCATACTGAGCAAAATCCCCATTATCCCTTTTGCTGGTAAGGCTTCTGACAGGCTTTTTTTGTGAACCTTTAGCTCCTTTATTTGTGGTTTCCTCTGTTCTTTCTTCCCTCCATTATTTTGATCTGTGGAAACTTTTATGAAAGTGATATCCTTTCTTTAAGATCTGTTTTGTTCATTACTTCACAAGGGTGACTGTGGTTTGGTGCTATATTGCTTCTCTCTGGGTTCTTTTCAAGGCTTTCCATGTCTCTGACACAGGAGTTCTAGCTTTCTGTTTCAATGGTTTAGTAAAAGTTTATTTTGGATTCATGCCACCACATCAAGGATGACCTTTCTGTAGAAGGAAGGACCCACAAAAGGAAAATACTCAACGTTTTACAGGAAGAATGGAGGTACCTGTGCTGACCTCGCCAGGCCTGTGGCAAACAGACATAGTGGCATCTATGAAGGTCCTGAAAAGAGCCACCCCATTTT